GATGTAATTGCCTTAGGCTAGTTATCTACACAAGTTTTATCAGTTTTTAGTCAGTCACTTTTTCTCGTCGTGGTTGTCACGGTGTGATGTAATTGCCTTAGGCTAGTTATCTACACAAGTTTTATCAGTTTTTAGTCAGTCACTTTTTCTCGTCGTGGTTGTCACGGTGTGATGTAATTGCCTTAGGCTAGTTATCTACACAAGTTTTATCAGTTTTTAGTCAGTCACTTTTTCTCGTCGTGGTTGTCACGGTGTGCTGTAATTGCCTTAGGCTAGTTATCTACACAAGTAATAGAAGCTTGTTATCTACTCTTTTCATTTCTACAAACCGATACGTCTTCCAGTTCAGCGGAAATTCGCGTAGATACCGGAACAAAGAGAAGAAAGTTTGGTGATATGTCGGTAGAATTGTTTGTTTGTTTGTAATTAAGCACAAAGCTATACAATGGGATATCTGTGCTCTGCCAACCACGGGTATCAAAACTCGGATTTTGGCGTTGTAAGTCCGCAGACATACCGCTGTGCCACTGGGGGCATGTTGGTAGAAGAAAAGACGTTTGGGAAACATTTCCATCATAATTACACTCTTAATTTTTTCAAACATTGCTTTATCATTTTATATTTCATTTCAACTTTGATATTGCAGTATCTTAAAACATCAGTTTTTCGTGTAAAAAGATGCAGTAAACTTAGCTACATATTTGTTGCACTTGACCGAATCAATTTTTGCTTCGCCGATAAGGCAGATTTGTTACGGCTAATCGGCCTAAGTGACTGATTGAGTGGAAAAGAATATTAACTAAGAAGAAATTATGTATATCTATATGAACATAAAGCTGAAGCTGCACTATCTTTAGAAAGTTCGTTTGGTGTTTAAAACTATTTCACCTTGTAGTTTTGTTTGTATGCATATAAATCAAACAATATAACAGTTACCATCTGAGAGTTAAATCATTGGAGCTCAGTTAGCATACAGAGGTGTGGAGGTCAGTTGAGGTCATACCAGACCGGACAGGCTTAGTATGTGTCAATAAAATTGCATTTAAGCAAAGTTAAATTCCTTGATACAAGAGCTACTAGAATACTATTGTTTGTTGTTGTTTGTGTGTCAGGTACTCTGAATAAAACCACTTCTTTGGTCGGTCAATATGAACTTCATTTTGGCTAGTGGTGAGTCTGGTATTCTTTTTTTAGGAAGAGACCTACTACGGAGAATGTCAGCTTGTTTTGCTTGTGCAACACGTGAACTACAGTTCTGTGAAAAAACAACAACAAAACACACCCAATTCTGACCAAATTGAGTCTAAGAAAACCTTAGTAGATTATATGAGCACATGTTAGAGAGTACGTCACAGCGCCTCTAAATGCTAAATGTACATATCTACAGTTCCCCAAGTTTAGTACAGACTCGGTATAATGTATTATTGCCATATGCTGGTGATAGAGTCAATGCACGAAACACATTTTTTTCTTGCCAAAACAATTATCTGTTCAAATGATGGCTGCTCTGTACCTCCAGCTATTCATTTTCTGATAGAATAATCATCAATAAAATGAATGAAGTAAAAGCGACTCGTATTAGCTGTACACTAGGTTTGTTTCATTTGCAACACTTTTAAGAGTAATTGCATTTATGACAGATTATCGGAAACTGTTCGTTAAGAATTGTGGAAGTAATTTTGATTCAGAATAGTCACAGGAGCACGTGCTTGTTGGACCAGATGGCAATTTGGGTCAGACAGCAGTAACTCACCACCTCAAAGATGACACATTTATCAAACAACTGCTTTATTGACTTTCCAGAAGTACTAGGGATACAATCAGGGCTGAGATACAGTAACTAATGAAGAAACGAATAATACAACCTTCAGAAAGTGGTTGGTTCTCTCCAATAGTGAGTGTTAGGAAGAAGGAAAATAATACATACAGATGATTTACTGCAGCTCGGAAAGAATGAATAACTGATGCAGTGAAAGGCAACTGTTGATTCAACACATTAGATTCGGCTTTTAGAGTTTGACAAGTCGAGCTGAATAATGAGAGCATACCTACAGCTGTTTTCAACATTCATAGTGTTTTTTTTACAAATCTCATTTCATGCCATTTGTTATGTGTGTAATGTATTCAACAGGCTAATGGAGCTAACACTGACAAAGCTTCAATGGAAGAAATGCTTGGGCCTTTAATGAATTCTTGATATTTGATTGCATATTTCCATCTACTGCTTAAA